CGGCTGTGACTCAGCCCAGCCGTGGAGAAAGGAGTGTGGGATCCTGTGGGGTGGGAACCCGTGAGCGAGGAGTGTGCAAGTGTTCACTTGCACTGCGTGTCTGCGGCCGCACGGGAGGGGCAGAGCTGCTCCGGCCCGGCCTGGCTGGAGGAGCTTTATCACTCCAGAGGCCTTGGAAGTGTGTGCTGGCCACCAGCCAGATGACCTAGTTGATAGCGTGAGGCTCAGCACGGTTCCCCTGCCGGCAGCGCTGCACCGGCGGCACCGAGAGCGTCCCACTGTGTCCGTGGGGGCCCTGCAGGTGTCCAGTTCCCTGCTCTCCTGGTCTCCTCCTGCTGGAATCACGACTTGTCCAAGGCTTAGTTGCTCCCCACCAGTTTGCATGGCATGGCTCTGTGTACCAGGATTGGGATGGTCTCCCCGTGCCTGATGTCCTGTGTTTGGTGTCCTGTCAGCGGTGGAGGCAGTGCCACAGCCAGGCAGTGAGGTGGGGAAATGATCCACCTTACTCCAGCTCCATGGAGGGGACTGTGCCCACCATCCCTGTGCCACCTCTCCTGGGCCGGGATTGCCCATCCGGCGTGCTGAGCTGGCAGCAAACTGCACACGATGCGTCTGTCTGTCTGTGCTGCAGCTGGCACTGAGCTCCAGAGCCTGTGCCAGGGCCATGGGGGTGCGTGGGCTCCGCCTGCTCCTAGCCTGGGTCTGCTGGGCTCCCCCAGCCTGCAGTCTGTGCTGCTCGGCTGCTCGTTCCAGCTCCGTGGCTTCTTGCTAAGACTTGCACTGGAGCCACGGAGCAGGTTGGTCCTGTGTGTTTGATCTCCCTCCCATGGAGCCTGCAGCTCTGGCTGGAGCGGCTGGTTGGGGGCAGGAGGTGTCCTGGCCCTCGTCCGACCTCCAGGGTGGGCTGGGGCAGGGACAGGCTGTGTCCAGGCGTGGAAGGGGAAGCACAACCTCTCAGCCTGACAGAGCACTCGCTTGGTTTTCGCCGTGCCCAAATTACAGGAGGGAGTTACAGCAAAGATAACTCTGCAGGAACATCCATTCCCACCTTATCTCCCATCAGGAATGTGTTTCCTTGCCTACATCAAAGTAGATGATCTGTTGCTTCTTCCCTCCTTGCTGCCCTAATCCTCTACTTCATGCTGAAAGAACCCAGCCAGAGCCTTGCCCCACCGTAACAAAGCCTGGCTGTTAATTATCAGCATCTTCCTTCCCTTCCCAATGCCCTGCCTTCCAGCCCTGAATAGCTTTCCTCCCTCCTTGCTCCTCTCCATCCGGTCCTCCCACGCTCCTGGGCACGCTGTTGAGCCTGTCTCAGGAGAAGTTGTCCTGCAGGATGCTTCCCTCCTTTCCATTTAAGGACAGGAATTCCTCGGGGAGCCAGGGCGTGGAAGGGATCCCTCCCTGCGCCCCATTGTCAGGACTTCTCCCCATGCCTAATTATTGCTTGTCCCTGCAGGAAGCACCTTGCCTGGCCGTCGGGCAGAGCCGTGGCGGCTCCAGCCCTTTGTGGGAATTCTCTCTTCCCTCTCGGGTGCCAGGCTTGGGGCTGGGAGGGGTGCCCACCTCTGACCTGAGCCAGCCCTGGTTTTGTCAGCAGGAGCCCACGCTGGCTCCTTGCATGGGTAGCAAAGGAAGAGGACAACTTCATTTGGTGTCTAGAACCACCTTGCAGAGGGAAACAGCAGAGTTTAAGCATGAGATAATTATGGAATTTCATAGTCATGGGATTTTAGGGGTTGGAATGGAGTTTAAAGACCATCCAGCCCCAACCCCTGCCCTGGGCAGGGACACCTCCCACCAGAGCAGGTTGCTCAAGGCTCAGCCAACCTGGCTGTGAACACTGCCAGGGTTGGGGCAGCCACAGCCTCCCTGGGCAACCTGGGCCAGTGTCTCACCACCAGAACAGGAAAAACTTCTGCCTCACATCTAACCTAAATTCTCAATGGTGTGCGAGGGGGGTGGGATGAGCTGGCACAGCCCCTACTCCAGCATGTGGTAACCTCTCGCCCTCCTCTTTTCCAGGTTCATGACTGGGAAGGGACTGGTCATCTACCCAGAGATTGGGGATAAACTGGACATTATCTGCCCCAGGGCGGAGCCGTCCAAGCCTTACGAGTACTACAAGCTGTACCTGGTGAAGAAGGACCAGGCAGATGCCTGCAGCACCGTCATGGACCCCAACGTGCTGGTGACGTGCAACCGGCCTGAGCAGGAGATCCGCTTCACCATCAAGTTTCAGGAGTTCAGCCCCAACTACATGGGCCTGGAGTTCAAGAGGCAGCAGGATTACTTCATCACATGTGAGTCGCCCTCCTCTCCCTCGGCGCCTGCGGAGTGTCGCCAGGCACCTTGCACCACTTGGCCCGTGCCGA